AGAAGAGGCGGCGGAGGAGGCGCGTTGCAGAGGAGGCGCGCTCGCAGTAGGCGCTAGGAGGCGCTAAGACGGCTCGGAGCCGATACTGCAGAGAAGGCGCGCTAGAATGGGCGGGGCAGGTCTGAGACTGGCTGCAAGCCTCTCCCAGGATCCCCCCTCCCGACACCCCTCCCACCAGTCTCCAACAGCCAGATTCATTTCATGCAACAAGAGCAATCCCCTCCAGATCCAATCCCTCCCCAATACTAAGCAAACCAACAGTTTCCACAAACTGTTGCTGGACGCGGATTCGCGCCATCACTACAACTACACCGCCGCTTCAATCAAGCGCAACTAGGCAAGGCAACCCGCTCTGCCACCACCAAAATATTCCCCTTTACACTCAAGTCAGGGCCCCTCCACTCCACTGCTCTATAGCAGGAATGGTGTGGCAGAATGTTAAACGTTAATTTTTTGCCTGGGGCTCCATTTTGTCTACCACCACCAGCACGCAGAGAACCGACCTGCAGAAAAACGTAGTGGGAACCATTCCAAAAGGTATGTTAGAGACAAAGGGTGGGGTTCCCCCCTCTAAGAAGCCAGAGTAATTTTACTCTGCAGCTTATATCCCTCTACATCTGGTTTCTTTGTAGCGCCAATGCAGCTTGCATATCTCTGCAGCTGTTATTAGTTTGTAGCGCATTTGAGGACATAAATTGTTCTGCAGCTCATGTACCTCTGCAGTTCCTGTGCATTGTAGCTTGTAGCTCGATGAAGCGCTGTTGTAGTGCAATCATTTTTGTAGCGCTAATCTTCTGCAGCTCAGATTTTGTAGCGCATTTAAAGCGCAAATCAATCTGCAGCTCATATATCGCTGCAATTCCTACTGGCTTGTAGCGCAAATGAAGCGCTTATCAGCCTTTAGCGCAATTGAAGCGCTTATCATTCTGCAGCGCATGAAGCGCCAATTAGTTTGTAGCGCGTATCACTTAGTAGCGCATTTGAAGAGCAAATTCCAAATTGGTCTGTAGCTCATGTCCGTCTGCAGCTCATGTCTGTCCGCAGCTCATGTCTGTCTACAGCCCATATCTGGACTTATCGATTCTGGAAATCAAAGCCCTGAAGGCTTCGTTTCTCCACTCCGTTTTGGGGTTCGGCCAGTGAAGGCGTGACAAGGTTTGCGTGGAGATATTCCGAGGCGCTACTCCATCTCCCGATAAGAACGGAGATTGAATGTGATCTAAAAAAAAAAAAAAAAGAACAAAAAACGTTCTCACCGCATACTCACCACGCGAGGACTCCTCTGCGAGGACAGGAAGGACGGGGTCCCACACCTGTGCCAGGCGTGGGATCCGCTGGGTGCTCCGCAGCCCGGAGTGGCTCCGGTTGCGAAGCCCGCTCAGCGGACCTTTCGCGAGGCTCGGTGGACCCTCTCCGATGTTCCGATGTTCTCCGCGGTGCTTCCCAGGTCGCAGTCAGGTTTCTTCGACACACACCAACCGAAGTTGAAGCGCGTGTACCCGGAGCGCCGACTGGCAGCCTTTTATAGGCTGAACAGAGGAGGGGGCGCCAAATCCCAGCGTGCTCCGCGAATGAGGGGGGCGAAGGGAGCAGGAGATTACGGAGGGGGTGCAGGATGCTGATGCTGAACGGGCCCAGCTGGGAAGAAAGAAGAAAGGGAGGGGAGGGGAGATCGAGGACGGCCGGCCTAGGCAGGCCAAGAATGCAATTTCCCCCGTGGTGGGAGCTGGGAGACCCTTGTTCTTGGACAGGACAGGGTCGGGGGACACGCAGGATGAGCCCCTGGACCACTGGCACCTTCTTGCTGACAGGTTAGTGACCCGCGCGCGACAGGAGGTACCCAGGCCAACTGGCCTCCGCCCTCCCATCCCCCCACCGAGGTTTTGGGTACTCGTGGTCGTTTTCTGGGCGTCAGCCCCTCTTGTTGCCTGGGTCCCCAACTGCACCCCTCTTTCAGGACGCCCCCCACCCCACTTCCGGGCCTTGGGCGTCGCTTCCCAGGCTTGACCCTTGGCCTTTTCTTTTTCTTGGCACCCCCACGGGCCCCTCCCTGCCCAGAAAGCGCCGAAATTTTATCTCCAATTTCAATTCCCAACCCTGTCCCCCTCATCTCCAACCCTGGTGGTGGACCTCTCTGATCCCTGCAACAAAGGGCTGGGGGGCAACAAAGGGCTGGGGGTCGTTGCCCATTTTTATGGGGGGCTCGTTACCCCACAAATGGGGTTCTGCGGCCCAGAGGCGAGCCATAGGAAAGGGGTATCAAGCTGCTTCCTTCTCCACAAAAACATTTTTTTCCTTTTCTTGAATCTGATCGGGAGAGAACAGAAAAAAATGTGCATTTGAAACATCTGATTACCCCTCTTCCTGAGCGCATTTCTCGGCGGCGGCGGATGTCTTGTTTTTTCTTCGTCTTTCCTGAGTAGGGACGCAGAATCATGAAATACTGGATCTAAGCCGGCATTCAGGTCAGGGTTCGCCCCGGCTGGGGGCTAGAGACGCTGAAAACAGCACTATTTGCCCCACCAAGCGCACTATTTCAAGAAAGCAGGAACAATTAAAAACAGCTGTGGGTGCCTCCAATGTGCTTGGCGGGCTTCAGAGGCTCGCAGCCACGGCCTTTTTGTGGCGATTACGAGGTTTTCGCAGAGATTTATTCTCCCCGCAACGTTACATTTTTGTAAATCTTGTCCGGAGAATGACTGCCTTTAGTCACAGCAGCCTCATGTTAATCCTTGCAAGTGCGATGCCGAGATTCATCTCCGCAGATAAACATATATGTTTTACGTTAGGGGAAATTGCTGTGAGTTACAAGACTCATTCCATGATGAGGAAGGATGCTTTTTCAAAAAAGCCTTAGCGCGGGGTTTCCATGTAAGCGCCCCAAAGTGTTTGGCGCCAAGAAAACGGACAATCTGTTGATAATCTGAGCAAAATAAGTTTAAGTTAAAATGGGAAAACAAATTGTCTACAGCTGAATAAGTTTCCTTAAACAGATGAAACAGATTTGTATTTGGAGGCTAAAATTCAGCGTAGTTTAGTTACATTGCTACAGATTGTTTTATACGGAGAGGATAAATAAGAATTTGACCCATTATAAATAGCCGGGTGGCAGACTCCTATTTAAAGTGAGGCTGCTTAGAAATAAACAAAAATTGTAGCATATTTGCTGAGAGTTGACTTTTTTGATCAGAAATAAAATATTGACCATTAGATAGATGAATGAATGAAGTGCAGATTTCCAACAATGAAAGATATTTATCTAGGAACTTGGGGGGAACACAATTTTCTTTTTAGAAGTGCCTTTTAATCTTTAGGATATGCACCCTTTTCTGCAAGATAGAATAATATCAGGACTTCTTATGTTTGCTAGAGTACTGTTGTGGTGACCACTGAACTGTCAAATTCTTAGCTTTATTTTAATCCAGAAAATTTACTTCATCTAATTGTTAACTAATAGATATTCTTTTCCAAAATATCAGATTAAAAATCAGTATAGATGGCAGGGGAAATTCAAGTTTATAAATTATCCCAAGATTTTTAAAGTTTGAACAAGTTTGAATCAATTGATTTTTTTTATTTCAAAATGTTAACCAGGATTTTTGTTGTTGTTAAAAAAGCTTTAGTATTATATTTATCATAATTTCCATTCATTGCACAAAAAAGTAATTTCTATTCATTGTACAAAGAGTAAGGGAAAAATATTTCAGAAAATTGAAAAAAACAAATGAAGACAATCAAGATCACCTGTAACCTCTTCATTCTAAGATAACCCCGGTAAGCATTATGGAATTTGTTTTTTCAGACTTAATCTAATTACTACATATTTTGGTGAGAGTTGCATATATATAATTTCTAAAATTAAAAATGGGATCAAATGAATTTTCTCCATTATATTCTTTTCAAGGATACTTAACTGTCAAATAACATTTTCAGAGACTTTTAAAAAAAGGAAATGTTAATACCTTTTCTAATTAGAATTTTAAATGAACATTAGTACATAAATATCTATACCTAGAGAACTGAGAATTTTCACTATTCTAACATACACATACTGACCATTTTGGTGTATTTCCTTATGTTGTTTATTCTTCTACATATGAAATAATTTTTGCTTTGCCTTAGAAATACAATTTTTCAAGAGAAAATATCGGTAGATAACTAGTTTTGATTAACCTTTCTTATCTAAAACAGCAAAATGTTAAAAATAAAAGCAAAATACAGGGTTAATAGACAATACTTTAGATAACATTTTTGTGTTACCTAAAACAACAAAACAACATTAAAAACTACCCTCCAAAATTAACAAAGAATTTAATACCTTTTTGACATTTAGAATCATAAGTGAATTTTAGATTTTCTCAGGTATTTGTTCCTAGTGTTGACTATTTCTTATCTATTTTGCACAAGATTACATGTAAAGCAAAATGTAATGCCAGATTATATTTCATTGCTAATGTGCATTATCTGTTTTACCAAATAAGAACTGGGCATTGTATTTGGACATTTTAATCCATCTTAATGAAAATTTTCTCTGAATCTATGAAGCTGTTGATTTACCACCAACATTTAACTGCTTGTTTAGTGGGGAAATTGTATTTCAAAACCAAGTGGAATATTCACTTGTCAAATAATAACTAGACTTCTATTTGGACATCTTACCTATTTAATGACAATTTGCCATTTATTTGTGAAGCTATTGATTTACTTCATGTATTTAGCTTAATTTCTCTGATGGTGAGAAAATTGTATTTCAAAAACAAAGTGGAATTTTCATTTGTCAAATTATAAGTGGACTTTCTAGTTGGACATTTTATCTATTTTAAATGACAATTTGCTATGGATCTGTGAACCTGCTGATTTACCATATACATTTGGCTTACCTTTTAGTATGGTGGGGAAATTTATTTCTAAGCAAAGTAAAATTTTCAGTGGTCATATATTAACTGGACTTGGTATTTGATCATTTTATCCATTTATTATAAGAGTTTGCCATAAATTTAAAAGCTGTTGATTTACCTCATATATTTAGCTTTAATCTAGTATGGTTGACAAATTGTATTTCTAAACAAAGTGGAATTTTCACTTACTGTAATGAAAAAATACTGGTAAGAGACAACCTCAAAGAGATAAAGATAATGTGTATCCAGTTTCTCTAACACTGGCTTTCCATGGATGGAAACCATGTTCAAACCAAAATGCCGCAACAGTGAAGAAACCCTGACATGTTAAAATTTCTCAATCAAATATAATTTGTGCTGTATGTATAGATCACATTTTCTCCAAAACAACTAGTTACCTTGTTCCTTTTTCTTTTTTACTAATTGACCACACTTACTCTATCAGTCCCCTTTTCTTGAAACTCACCCTTACCTCCGTTCTAAATACCAGTGCAAATTCTATTGCTGATTCTACTCTTAGTGTTAAAAGGGACTCCCGGTGAATAGATGATATGGGTGTACGTGTCCGTGAGAGATTCTTGGGCTGGAGCTCTGTTTCAGTCAGGGGCTTCACAGAAATAGTAACATGGTGATTTTGTTTTTATTTCCATTCTTTCCAATGAGCAAAGACAAAGAGACAGACATGACAGACACAGACACACAGACGCAAAAAACATCCAGTCTTTCTCTAAACTTCAGGATCTACTGTTATCTCCCTGGTTTCCAGAAATATTAAACCAAAAGCAGCAATGCAAAATTAAAAATAAAAAAAGAAAAAATTGGTGTTTCTAAGGATCAACAAGTCTTTTCAAAGGACTATTTTTTTTCTGACTGGGGTTTTCAGGTTGGTAGGATCAGATGGAACCTCAATGCTCTTAAAGCTGTTTCACATGAACTGCCTCCAAGCAAAAGGCTCTGGAAGCAAAATTCCCGGGGTCTTCAATTTTTAAAACATTGTAACTATAGCAAAGACAGGATTGAGTGAAAACAACCCCTGCAGTCTGCTATTAGGACATTTGCATGGATGCTGCTGGTTTTCTAGTTAGATGCATGTGCACATATATTTTTACGTGACTATTGTTTTAACATGTGTAGATTTTTTACACTTTGTTTTGAAAGATAAGTGAATTTTGCTTTCAACAAAGCATTTGTCAGGGCTTTAGGATGCTCTTGTGTGTGACATGGTGTGTAGACTACTAGCAGGATTGCTTTGTAAGCGTGACTCCGGCTGATCCAGCACCTGCCAGGTGTGTGGGTTACTGAGCGCGGGTCCGGCAGTGGTCCCCGGTGAAGAATCACACGCCTTTGCCTTAGTTCTTCTCTTCTTCAAAATTTTTATGAATGACTTTGATGAAGACCTAGGGCACTTGCTTTAAAATCCATAGATGACTTGCAAAGGGATCACTGTTAGAATTAGATAACAGAACTTAGAGTTAACATGGTTTAAATAGGTTGCAATGCTTTGCAAAAAGATATTTTATACTAGTAAATGCATCGTAATTCACTAAGTGTGAGGAAGGAGGTGACTTAACATGGTGGTGATTTTTTGAGGAAAAAGGTTAATATGAACCAGCAGCATGAT